GTCTGCAGCCCGGCGGAACAGATTATAATAATATCATATGATATCATAATATCAGTTTCTAGTTATTGTTTTTTTGCGCTCGTAGAGAGTTTCCTCTCCTTTTTTTTCCTTTTTTAATTCGCTCGTCCCAGTATTGTTTCCACTACTTGAAAGTATTAAAACGAATACGTCGCACGGGTCCACGCTGACCAACTGTGCCCGTTTTTTTCCAAAAGCCCGTCATAACACAACACCCTCGAATTTCGGTTTTAATTCAGAAGGACTGCGTGTTGACTTACAAAAGACCTGCACAACATAGCGAATTTGCGTTCAGAGCGGTATCAGTCGCGCACTGTTAGCTTTAATATTAGGATGATAATTGAGGTGATAATAATTATTGACTCGCTATACAACTTAAAGCCAATAAGTTATTATTACTAATAGCATAATCTGCGAGTGAAAGATTATTTTTATTATTATACGTACAAGTCATGTGAATATGTCAAATATAACAAATCAAAAATATTCATCACTCCGTTAAAAAAAATTGAACTAAGTTTAGTAAAAAAAAAAAGAAAAAACTAACCAACGCACAAACGATGTTCTCACGTTAATGTCTTACAATCGTAAACCAATTTACTCCGACATTATAAAGCTAACAGCACAACATTATAATAATATTATGTTGTGTACATTTTTGTGGGACGGGGACAACACACGTGATTGTGAAAGTGGCGTCGTCCACACATGACAAATTATTGTCAGTGCTCATTTCAAACGAGAAACTCTGAAGGTTAGGTTCAAATATTATTGTGATTCGCCTAAAATAGCGATATTATACTACCGTGGTATTGATGTGTACCTAAATATGTATACAAATGTACATTCGATTTTGGACGGATAATCAAAAAATAGGTAAGGACGGGCTAATCAGTGTGGTATAATATTATTGTGCTCGTATTATTATTATTAAAATTGATTAAATTTAAACATTGATTTAATATCACGGTAATTTATAGGTATTGAAATAAGAATATTGTACTCAGATTATCCATCAGAAAATATGATATTGTACTCTACGACTTTTTTTAAAAATATCTATTAGAAATAAACAATCTGTACAAGTAATGTACAATAAGTTTATGTGTTAAGAGAAAAGAAGACGTGAAAAATTGAATAAGAAGCCGTCCACTGGCAAAACTTAGCATGAATTACTTAATATACATATATTTTTTTTTTTTAACGGTTGATGGTTGGAATTGTATATAAATATCACATATACATATATGTTTATTGTTTATTCTACGACTTAAAATGAATTTCGTACATTTCTTATGACTTATATGTAATATAATATATTAAATTATATAAACTCAAAAGTGTAGTTATATACGCCAAAAACTGTTATAAACATAAACATAAACAGTTTATTGTTTAACGACCTCATCGAAATATTTAATATTTTCTTATTTATTTATTTATTTACAAATTCACGATCCATATTATTATATTTAAGTAAGGAGTTATTTTTTGTCCAAAAAATATTACAAAGAGAAAATACTCTTTGTAAAAGAATCTTGCTTTTCATTATGCATCAGTACTCAGTACTTAGTTTGTTATATAATTTCTTTCCTTTGAATTATTCGTCTGTGTCTTTTTTTTCTCAAAGATATGCATACCCAATAAGCAAAAACAAGGTTTAATTTTTAAATGTATTTAATTTTTAATAAAAGGTAACCTTAACAAGTGTATTATAATGATAGGAGTGATTAGGTTACATTAGATCTACACACGTAGGTTACACACATATGAATAAATAATATTACACTAATACGTACCACATAATATCTGCATGAGATAATGTAGACAAAATTCACTTAAAAATTAAAAATTAATTTTTTGGGTAGTAAATAAGTACAAAATATTCTGATTTCCTTACGACTTAAATACATACGCCGTATCAAATTGTACAAATTATTACACATTTACACATGAGCATAAACTATGGAATAGGTACTTATAAAATTAAATACAAGCAATAACTATAGTGTTGTAGGCACCTACTACTTATACAATATAATATAACTGTTATAAGTTGTAGATGTGTACACAATATATTGGCGATTAAATGATACTGTCTTGGAGAGAGACCGGTATTTTTAATAATATGTACTTTTTGATCATTAACAATCAAAAATATAATATACAATAACTGAATAACATTATAAATGTTGAAAAAAACGTCACGGGGGAGAAATATCGTCGACATACTAGATCAGGCACAGCTCATTTTTCATAACAACAATATAGGAAATTGGCATTTGTGAAAATTAAATAATTGTAACGGTTCACCCCATTATTTAACATCACTATATTATATCACCGTGTTTATTTTGTTTATTCAGAGATTTTGGGTATACACACAGCATTTATACTAAGTATACAGTATACGAAGTTCTCCTCTAGATAGTGCGTACACATTTATAATGTTTTGTAAATATTTTAGTTCAACAAAAGAATAATGTTGGTACAAGTAATTTACTGCAGAAATAAGTATACACATTATTTTGGAAATAAATTGGTACTTATTTTTGAGTATGGCTGTGTCAATTAATTTAGAAATAAATAAATATTTTCAATAAATAATAATTTTTATAAAATCGTAATATTGTAGTATTCGTATTAAATAAGCAAACCGACTAAGAGATCCATAAATTAATATCAGCTATATTGACCATTTTTATATTTTCTTCAATGTAACCACCATTATGTACACAAAAATGCATTTAACGTGGTGCATAAAGCCAATCTCATATTTTTGAAATGACCATCAACCGTAAATTGTGCTGAAAATAATATTGAACTGTTTATTTTGTAATAAAACATATTTTATAAAATAATATTATCTTTTGTATTGTATTAGGTGTATCGTATGAATTAGGTGCTTACGTCGTTTTTGTTTCGCACAGCGTGAAATTGAGTTTTTAATCGTTGAAAACTCGAGGTCTTCAAATGGCGTATTGTTATATATTATTTGTTAAAGATACATTTTTAGAATGCAGGCATTTCGTGACACCATTTATGGCACTCATATTGGTTTATTTATAACAAGTCATAAAATATATTTTCGAAGAACTACACGAGCTAGTGATTAAAACTAATTGTTCTAGGTAGTGTAAAATATGTGATAATGGTTATTAACTTTTTCACGGCACAGACAAAATCATGTCTCTGATCGAACTTTCAACGTCTTGATTCGGTTTAAAATTAATTGGATAACGTAGTGTTGGGTTTAATAATTGGCACCAAAAGGTTTAGAGAAAGGAAACCACTATAACTGATGATTTTGTCAGTTTTAAAATAACCGTAACACAAAATAACTATGCTACCTATCGATTTGAAATTAGTAAAGCACTTTTAATTCAATCTATTCATCAGTACTAATAATGAAATACTGGAAAACCAGCTGTTTACATGAATATTTAAATAAATCATATTGAAATATTGAATAATAATTATTATTTTCAGGTAGTTATTCCAACAGGATTCTACTTGTTCACAAAAAAATAAAAAAATTCAAATAATTCTGAGTAAACCATTCAACATCGTAAAAAAGATGTTATTTAAATACAAATAATATTCATAAAATGTGTTCAGATAAAAATACAATTTGTATTAACTTTTTTTTTTGGCCAAATATCGAAAATGTATTTATTGGTCATGTGAAACTATCATTTTTTTTAGCGTTATCAAACAACTGTAGAAATCGTAGTAATATGTTCCAGATGTCTGTGATTTATAGCACTTTCAGATTGTTGACTTCCCTTTGTATTTTCGATTGACTTTAAAATTGTTCCCGTCTTTTAATATATTTTTTCTTGTGCATTTTCCCCTTGACTTGTCGTTGATAAACAATTACGTTAATATTTTCGTACTGCACAAGGTAACATATGGCTTAACTTTGATAACAAACAATGTTATATTACAAAATAGTGCATTTAAAAAAAAAAAAAAAAATAAGTTACGTTTAAATATTGATTTTGATTTATATCATAAACTTAATCAAAATAATTTAAATAAACTGAAAATAAATATTTTCTCTCATCTTATACATTTTCTTTTATCTATTTTTAAATTTATACTTTCGACCAAATCAATATAAACACTTGGATATTTTTACGAAATTAAGTCACATCAATGAAAATAAAAGTAATTCAAGTTATAATTAAATATTTTAATGTTCATATTTCAATATATTATAATATAATGGTTCATAAAAATTAAGTTAACATTAATAGTTAATGGATAAAGTGCAAGTTTTCATATTTTTAAGATGAGTGTTTAAACTTTGAACTCATTTAAAATCAATATTTTTATTTCAATATAAAAAAAAATTGTTACCTATAGTAATCTTTCATTTAATATATTTTAATCTCAAAAGTGCTCTGTTCAGACTACCTAAAAAATTTCAAAGCTTAAAGTTTTATTAAAAATATTTATATATATTGTTTTATATTCTGTATACATTAAAAAAATACATATTTTTTGATTTATAAATTTATAATTATTGTTGTTATACTAAAATAATATTTTTACGGATCCAAGTTATAATAGTTAATTATAATTACTTACATCAGTCCGTAAAAGGGTATGTTGAAGGTAAAAAAAACTTATTTCTCTTTAAGCCGACCAAATCGTATTATAGTTTCAGGTTTGATTTTATTAACTTATTTATAAAGCTATACTTTTAAAAACATTTTATATTTTAATAGATATTTTTGTACAGTTAAAATTGCAATCAAATTATTTTGTAGGTCGAAATGTAATTATTTTTATAAATCGATAAAGGTAAAAAAAAATATGTCCGTTGGTATAATTTATTTATTATTTTTTTATCCGCAAAATAATTTTGAGAATATTATATATTATTATATTTCAATTACAGGTTTAACATTCAATAGTGGAAAATTTACCGAATAGTTGATTTTTATTTTTTATATATATATATTTTTTTTTTTTAGAGTCAATCCAGAAGTATGACCCACGCGAATACGGAACACACCAAAACGGTACCATTGGCACCTCCTTCCACTCAGGAGCCATGGACACTGAAAAATCCAATTCCCTTAGTATTAGAAATACTTATCATCGTTCAAATGTTCTTCGTGACGTTGTTTTTCAAGACGTTCAGAGTGTTTCTGCCAAAGTCAAAAAAATCTGTCAAGGGAAACGTTGTAATGGTAAATTATTATGATACATTCGTTCAATAGAAACGAGACGTTTGCTTATTCATGTTCTAGAACAATAGGTGTAGTTTAGTCTTGCACCATTTCTTATTATGAGTTTATGACACGAAATCCCGAGGTCCTCGGCAGTTTGATGTTGATTCAAATCAAGTTAGTTCATATTTACTCGTTTAATGGGTTCAATGAGATACTATTTTCATGTAATTGACAAAAATCAAAATTCAAAACTACAATCATATTTTGATTTTTGAACCATATTTGTATGAAATATGTACGCTTATAGTATACTGTATTTATGAACACTTCGAGGACTGAAGAGTGACATTTGGAGTTAATTTTATTACATTATAATATTATGTCCAATTGTCCAATCACATTATATAATACGCCAATATCCTTTAAGATTTCAAACGTGGATTTTTTTTTATTTCAATACCTAGTTATAATATTCAAAATAGACATTACACATATTTTGTACACCAACTCGTTTCGATACAATTTTCCGTACACGTTTTCTCATAAAATGGTGTTATTTTTTTTATTCATACAAGTTTAGTAGGATTAACACTGTTCTACCCTTCCAATCGATACGACCATACGAGTACTCCAGACAACTACGACTAATATCGTATTATATCATGATTAATTGTGTATGTCATATTATTGTGCATTAATTAGTCAGAATTGCATGACAAAGGGCTAGAAATGAACAGTTATCCTGTTATGTTGTTCAGGAGAATTCAAAAAGAGACATAAAGGAACCTAATTATTTATGGGTTATAGCAAAGTAATATAATATGTATTAATAAAACATTACTTGAATTCCGTTTGCAGCACTTTTGTCTTTTGCCGCGTGTGAAATTATATATCTACTATATCGTCTATTTTAAAGTTGTGAAAAAAAAAATTGATAGGTACATTGTTATGCTAATGTTGCAGTGTTATCAATGCATTGATACTCAGTGTTTTTTAAATTGTTCACCGAATCACAGTTACTTAAATTTCAACTCATTAATATAACAACAATTTTATTAGAGTTTTGTGATATAATATTTTAATGATAAATATTAAAGTGGAATATGTTGTATCATTACATTTAAAACACTGATATATGTGGGTACGTTTTAATTTATGATGATGCTTGACTCACTGGTTATGAGTTATTTATATTCAATTACCAACGTTCCCAGTGTAAGTTATGATAATCAAGTGAATTATGTTAAAACGAACTTAACGAAGTGAATATCTGAATATGGATTTGATATCTATGCCGAAACTTTGTAAAACAACAATGTACTCACACGAACGTTAAAACATATTAACGTGATGCCACTGAATAAATTAGTATAATATCATTATATTGTTCAGTTATCGCGTGTAGAGTGAGTCAAGTTCAAACCAATTGGTAGTTGTTTTACGTGTAGCTTTTCGATGGTATGGGACCATAAAATAATCAGTGTTTAAGACTGAATCTTTCGAAAATCACGAGACCGAAACCTCAACGGAACCCTATTGTTAAATTATTATTATTATTATTTTATTTAAAGTAAGGCTTCAACATCATTGTTTATTAGCCTATTAATCATTATTGTTTTCCAGAGTTTGGAGTTTTTTTTAGATTTCAATAATATGATACGTTATAGTTAAAAACAACAAGTTCCATTTTTTTTTTTTACTTGGCGATACGAAATACATTTACGGACAGGTTTTTCGAGTAATTTTGATCCAATAATAATGTTGATATAATAAAACACGTACGAGTATTTTTTTGCATTTTAAAATCAAAATATATTTGTTGCACACAGCATAGATACAGTATAACTTAGAAACACATTAAAGAAAATATCATATAATTATTGTCGTATTTCAATTGAGTACATTTATAATATTATAGCCTACTTATACTTACACCTATTTTTATCTCATAAAGTCAATATGAAAATACCAATTTACACTTTGCATATGTTGAAGCAACTTATATAGTAACGAATGATAATTACAATTCCAGTGTCGCGAACTTGTATCCAATATTTTTTTAAAATTTTTTATGGCCATCACACATAAATAAAAAAAATGTAAGTTTCGTATTTTTTTTCAAACTGGTCGGCAATTCCGTATGTGGCGTATGTAAAATCACGCTACTTGTTACGCGTGATTTTTGGCACTTGCTCGCCAACTTACATCTTTGATTTTTGTCACTCTGCGTGTTCACAGATCACGGGCTCGGGCAGAGGCCTTGGTCGTGAACTGGCCCTAATGTTCGCCCATCTCGGGGCCAAAGTGGCGTGCGTCGACGTGGACCAGGCGAGCAACGAAGAGACCGTCAGGCTGATCGAGTCCAAGCAACCGGGTGCGTTGGCCAAGGCATACACGGTCAACGTGGCAGTCAGCTCCGAAACAGCCGCACTGGCCGTCAAGGTGGAACTCGACCTAGGTCCGGTGGACGTGCTCATCAACAACGCGGCCGTCATCGTCGGCCACACGTTCTTGGGAGCCCAGGACCACACGATTTCCACCATCATCAACATAAACCTGCTCGGACACTTTTGGGTAAATGAGAGTGAAAATCGAAAACTATTTAATAGTTGCGACAACACCCCCCCCTCCATTCTCCCTGAAATTAATTTCTAGTTGACTGAAGCCGGGATGCCGCGACCCCGAGAACCATTTTAATTCAATTTTTCATAATCTCTAGTTTGAAATGAACTGTTTACATTTTCTCTGAAACAATTCACGTTTATTTTAAAATAAGTAAATTTTGATTGTATTCAATCTATCTCACCTTTGAGTTAAAAACAAGTAAACGCTAATAACGATTGGATCAAAATAAATAATCGTAATTTGTCTAACGAGAATTCGTTACGGTAGGTTATATTATTAAGTTTTTCTTTTATGGTTTAGATGATACGATCGTTCTTGCCGAGTATGATGAAGAGGAACAGCGGTCACATTGTAGCGATTTCTTCGATTTCGTCTCTCAGTGGCGAGGCCAAACTATCGGCTTACTCCGCCAGCAAGTGGGGTGTTAATGGTAAGTCAAAGGCTACGCCCTACGATCGAACTCTTTATCCTAGCCACCGACATTTTAAGATCAGAATAATTTTTGTGGTCTGTTGCATGGCCTCGTCTTTCGGCATATTATTGTATACCTACATTCAAACTGCATTGTCTTCAATAAAAAACTGTTTTTTTTTAACTAATTTACCCACTAACCCACCTGGTTAAGTGCACAGAGTGGAAATGTATGACATTTTATGACATTTTTTTAAAAAATAACTTTGTTATTATAAACATTTAAAAAAACATTATTTTTTTACTAGATACCTATTTTTATTGTTATAATTTTTTATTCTTTTACTTTTTTAAATAACGGCAAGATGCATTTTTATATTAAATTCGAACCTAAATATTGTACTGAGAATTTCAATATATTATAAATGCCGAATTTCGAATGAGGTAACCTGCAACTACCCATAACTTTATAAATATTAAAATATTTTATGGTTGAGTTGAGTAGAACAGGGGCACTCTGCAAAATGTCGGTCCACTACTTAGTGGTTCATCAATACTTTAAATACTTCGGTATAAGTTTTAGCTACTTAACTACTAGTTTGATTCTTATACGTACCTATTGAAATTCTCAGAAAATTAATTTGCTCCTGAACATGATTTTTAAAATGTATTATGTTATAGAACAAAATTCAATAATCTTAACCAATTATAACAATGTTAATGAAATATATATATTTTTTTAATTTTTCCAAATAATTTATAATAAATGCGGACGACAACTACCGTTAATTATTAATTATGTTTATATTTCTAGGAATGATGGAAAGTCTCAGAGAGGAACTCCGGGACCATTCGCACAACAAAATCCATACCACTGTTGTGATACCGCGACTTATTAACACGAGTGCTGATTATATGAAATCAATCAACAGCAGGTATTGTCATTTCTAAATCACACATTTGACGGTAAAAAGGAATAGGTCAATTTCGTTAATTTGTTTTTTTATTTCATATTTTCTTATAAGACATCCTACGACTAACGTCCCACGTGATTTTTTATTTGCTAAAATGTAAACGGCAATTATTTCTAATCTCAAATCAACTGCGAAGAATGAAAAACCCATGACAGTAAAACAGAAACAAATGTATACGTTTTTCGTTTCCTGGATAGTAGTGCAGATTTTGACATTTTACCACGCACTGTCCAATTAATACCATCGATATTTTTAAGTCGGTTGTCTTATTCTATAAATATAAAACTATTAAAAATTAGAGACGTTTACGTTTTGATTGTAATTCATAAATGGTACAATACAGATATTAAGCTTAAATCATTAACGATATGTAATTTTATTTTTCTAATATTTCTTTTACAACACTTTACAGATTGTACAAATACTTGATTAAAAATAAAAAATTTAAATACAATAATTAAAGAAAATTAAACATAATTATTTACAAACATAATCTTCCATTGTTCATTGAAGAGTTTAGCCCTAAAGATTATAAGTCATTAGCACATATCATTTTCTTACAAATTATATTTTATGACGATACTACACTGTCTTGTACTATTAATTAGGTACAGCTAATTATTAAAATAAACCGAATTGTGTATTATATATTTATAATCATTGAAATGTAAGAGTTTAAGAGGCATTTGTAGATGATTAGTGTTTCAAATTATGAACATTAATTGGATACTTATAAAATAAGATAATCGGTTTTCAGGTTGCCGGTGTTAAGTGTGGAAACTGCCGCTAAAGCAACAGTCCACGGGATTTTGACGAATGAAGTTGAATTCACTATTCCTCATATAACATATTTCACCAACATTCTACGGAAGTAAGTGACTTAAAAAAAAGTACTTTTCAATTGAGTTAATGTAAAATGTATTTGTTTTGATTTTCTGTACAGACTTTTCCCCGTCAACATTTCGGATTCGATAAAAAATATTTTCTACGTAAAAATCCTGTTGCCACCACAAGAAGACCAGGACAATCTCCCCAATATGTCAATCATTAATCGTACTGTAGCTGCCAACTAAAAACAACATTTGTATAATGTGATTGTCCTTTAAATTATTTATTTAAAAATAATATTGTATGCTGTATGCGTAACGGTAATTAGAAAATAATTATCGCCAAACTTAGGTACTTTGAAGTTCTAGCAGGTACCGTATAATTTTTTTAACGTTTTCGTTTTAGTTATATACTAAATTTTACTGATATTTGTACAATTTTAAAGTTAAGACTATCATATTATGGGTAAATTATATCATATTTTATTTCTATTTTGTTATTATTAATACGAATGGGTAATTTTAAGTCTTTCAAAAATGTCAAAATTTGTACGTGTTTATTTATCATTAAATTCAAAGAAAATATATTTGGGGTTTTTTTTTAATTTATTTATAAATTTTGCTAGGTGATCTGTGATGGAAATTTTTGTAAAATCTGTCATAGGAAGTGTTAATAAAAACAAAATTATCGTCTTTAGCGTAAAAAGTGAATTATTTGATTTACGAATTTCTGTCATTCGCATCAAAGTGAATTTAAAACGTCGTCATTACATTAACTCGTACTACGACTCGGCGAACATAATTCAATATTATTTAGATTCGTGTGATATGCAACTGCATTGGATTCACGATACTTTGAAAGTTCAAATACAATAATGACCTGTTGAGTTGTAGCAAGAAGTGGGCAGATCTTACACATTATTCTGAAATCCATTTAAACGAGTGATACAACCATTATTTGCCGTGCAATAGGTAATTATATATTGAGTTATATCGCAATGTAGTGTGTGTATATCAGTGTAAGAAAGATAGTCATAGTATTAACTAGACTTTCGGCCATAATGGCCTACCGACGGCGAGTTCGAGACAGACTGGTTAGTAAGACGACTTATCCGATTTTCTGGTTCATTTTTTCGAAACGGTTCCAACACACTTTCTAGCCGACATGTCAGTAAGAAACCATTTGACAATAACCCTGACTAAAAGTAAAATTAGCAATATTATTTTGATCAATGGCGTACACATGGGGAGGGGGGGTGTTCAACCCCCCCCCCCTAGTATTTTTTCAGTTTACGTAATTACGTAAAAATATATAGTAAAAATGATGACAATTTAAAAAAAAAATTAATAGTACTAATAAAAATAAATACAAAATTAAATTAGGGAATTTCAGTGTAACCGTCACAATCGAGCTTCGATTAAAAATGTACGGCGAGAAGACCGTCGTCACCAAAGTTATTATTTAATAATAATTATTATTAGATATGGGATATTCCAAATTATACTCCATTATATTATAACATTATATTTTAAACTGAAAAATAATTATTTACACAAGATAGATTAAATGGATTGACCATGTTGTCGGTATACCGTGATATAAATTTAACTCCTGAAGAAGTCATTGATGAGTTGGGACAAAAACCCAGGAAAATAGACATTGTTTTATAATGAAAATAAATATTAGTTAAACAACATATTATTTTGATTTATCAATGTATAATATATATATGTATATAATTTTTTTATATGTAAGCCCCCCCCCCACATTGAAAATAGCTGTGTACGCCACTGATTTTAATTGTAATTTATCATAACAATATAAAGTCCATAACGCATAATTTTTTTTTGACGTCACTTTTCAATTATTAGTAATACTTAACTGATTACTATACAATAGTCACTTAACTTGTAATGAATTTATAACTTTTGAACTTATCGTAGAACATTAATTATTTTTAATTGTTTTTAGAAAACGTAAGACTTAAAATATGGTCAATGTGATTACTGTTTATGTTTGATAAGTTTACAAGTATAACACATTGTTATAATTATAAAAAAACATGAACAAAAAAATCACTTGTAAACACTGATTTAAGATTTCTTCATACAAAAATTAATTAATTTTTTTGTTGTATGATTAACAACTCAATATTAACTGAGTACAACATAATTAAAAATTTAAAAAAAAAATTAGTAGTAACTATAAAAAACCTTAACTGATGCACCGTATTTTAGATGCCCTAAATTTTCAAACCTGAATTGATTCAATTATAATATTTCGTATAGATAAAATTTGTAATTTTTATTTATAGTGTTTCATAAATTAATATTTTTCATAGAGAAAAATTTTATTGTATTAAAAAATATATATTTTGGAATTATAATATCCATGTGCCAAATATATTTTTTTTAAATAAGTTAGTATATTTTATTCTTAAAAATATATTTTTTATCATGTTTAGAGTATAGGTAGTCTACAAAAGAATAGTAAAACACGTAACTATGATATATGATTCATTATGGTCAAATTACACGTAATTGATAAAAGCCTATAATCACTAGAAAATATATGGTTAATAAAGGATTATAGTTTCTTGGGGATTTCATTGGTACCTAAGCCCTGTAAGAAACTTGATATCTACGTCACCATAGAACTAAGTTGAAAAAATAAGTTTCCTCTCTATTCATCTGGGAATTTAACTTCATTCTTAATTTATTTAATATTTCTACCATCCATATCACTCCCATGAATATTTTTTTAAAAGTATAAACAAAGTTTTCAGCCTATAGTCTCGTTTTTATTTTATTTGAATACATTTTTTTCATTGCAGATTACACTGAATAATATGTTTGAATGCATTAATGTATAAAACATTTTTTAATAAAAAAAAAATGAAAATATATTTATACGCATTTTAAAATTTACAAAAATTTCAATAGTATCAACATAAGTTTATTTTTATTTGAGAGATTCCAAAGTTGAAACAACATCATATATTTCAGTATGACTGGGTAATAAAACAAGTTTTATTTTTAAGCTGATTCAATATACTTATATATATTATATATTATAGTAATATATTTGATATGGTAGGTAGCCTTAGAAAACAGTGAAAACAATATTTTTTTCAAGGTACCTACTAACTGGTTAAACATATATATATCTTATATCAACTCAAATTCAACCAAAATTTTGGTTATGCGTGCTACTAAAGAATTTCTACTTCTCGTATGATTTTACAAAATAAGAAAAATGTCATAATATTAATACTTACATACAGTGCCTAGTTATAGGATACAGATATACTGTGCTCGTCTTCCTCCATATTAATTAATTATTTTATATTCACTATATTATGCTGTAAATCAAATCCTTATCAACTTCCTTAATGTAATAAATAGATAAACTTATTATTTTTCATCATGGCTAAAATGTATTTGTAAAATGTGCTTGTAATATTTTGATCCTTAAATTCTACATGTTTATTGCTGTTATATGCTTGACTTACTAATTTAAAATATTAATCATGTGTAATCAATTGTACTTTGAAAAATATGATTTTTATATTATAGTCTGTATATAATAATATTTTTTAGTTATTTGTTTTGAAAAGTCTACGAGGCAATTGAAAAAATTATTCGAAAAAAACATTATTACAATATTACACTCAGCAACACTCGAACATATTCTGAGAGAGTAGCGAAGTATAACCTGCAAACATGGACATTTTCCTATGATATGATAATTATCGATCTCTCATATTTTTCAAAAGAAATCCTTTGCTATTGATATAAAAAAAAATGTATACTTATACAACTATATCCATTACAATGACAACTGCAAAAATACAACTAAAATAAAACTTTTTTTTCGTTTTTATCAAATTCCAAAAATAATTGAATTTAAATACATTTTATACTAGATACTACCCCGTGAAATAGAAACCTCCAGTTGTAATTGTTATTTTAAAATTTTACATAAATCTCGACGTCTGTTACAAAAATATGTTAAGGCCAATTATTCCTAAATATTTTGTTTGTTTTCATTAGGTAAATATATGTATAATACTATAATAATATAATATAATATCATAATATTATATTATGTGAAAAAGTAAATATTCAATGCACTATTGAAGAAAAAAAAATATCATTCCTAATAACAAATACATAAAGGATTCAATTTTTGAAACTGTTTCTCAGATATCCGCCAAATCCAATAACTAATCGATTCTAGTAGGTACATATTATTACTGTGCTTTGAAAAGAAAAACAATTTTTCTGCTCACGTATCTGATGAATCCAAAATACTTTGGGTTTTATTTTGCAATCTTCAAAATCCTTTCATCAGATCCAACATATACAATATCTATATAGCTTAAAATCCTTCACAAGGTTTACAGCGAAATTATAAATGAAATCTTACATGCGTTATCATATTACTTTAAAATGTACTTGTTTACACTATTGTTATGATTCAATTTGTAATCGATTAGCTGCCATATATTACAATATTTAAAAATAAAACGAATATAGACTTAAAATTTGTGAAAGTTTTCAAAAAAAATATTTCTCGGCATATCTGTTTATTAGTTTGACGATAGATCAACAACAAAAACCGATTGTTCAATTGACCATGGCAAATTTATTGTAAATAAAATCAAGAAGAAAAAAGCGGGTAAGTGGATGTCGCTCTACTGTTCAGTAGGTTACAAGTTGGTAATTGTAATGGATGGTGTTAAATTTGAATTCAATGATAAAAAATCATTGTTGACGAAAAACGATTCTGAGTGAGGACGGTCTGATATTATTGTGATTTAAAGTAATTTATTTTACTACTAAGCATTAGTACTTCAGTAGATTGAAATGATTAAATTCTAACTTTGTTTTACATTTTCAACTCTTAGCTATGAAAGTTGAACATTTTAAAAATGTTAAAAAAAACTATAAGACTATTTGTAATTTTGAATGATGACAGTTTTGTAAAAATTTGAACTTTAAAATGCTTATAAAACAATTGTGCATATGCATTTTAAATATTTTTCAACTAATATTGTAAATATATATCAGCACTATGGTTTTACATTTTCAAACTTTTTGATCCAACAAATAAAATTTTATCATGCAACTATAGAAAAAAAAAATTTTTATGTAAAATGTTCGTAAAGGGCCCAAAATCAGTCAAAATATTTTGAAAATTTTACTAAGTAAATAAATTGATTATATAAGCATATGGTTTAAATTTTAAGAATCTGGAGTTATTTATTTTTGAATTACATCAAAATAAGAAAACCGCTATAAGAGAAATCGAGTGAATATCCAATGTTGTAAGAATTTCAATTTCAAACGTTCATAAGAATTGAATTTGACTTTCCGGTAGAATTTTTTTTTTTAGTTTATCGTCTGCTGTGTATTTGGGTTTGTATAAATTAAAATGTAACAATTTATGAAACCAGGTTTACCCTAGCTTTCATCAAGCCTGGGCCTGAACAAGTTAAAAAGTTTAACATTTTTAAATTTAATCTTCGATGACTTAATTTTTAACTTAACTTATTTTAATTGATATAAACTTCATAAACAAC